AAGATCATAGCGTTCAACTCATAGAGGAGGAATTATTGATATTCTATCTTTCTTGGGAGTACAATTAAGCTTTAGTACTTTATCTTTCATTACATTTGATGTGCCTGATTGTGGTGGCGGGCTGTGGAAATAATCAAACTAGTTTCTTGGACGTTTGATGGACAAAATAAGCAAGACATCTGATACTGAACAGGAAAATGGAGTGGAGTTAAAGCGAGAACAGTAACGACTTGCATTTATATAGTGCCCCTCATGCAGGGTAATGTTCCATAGCGTTACTGAGGCAGAACACGACACTGAGCCATGGGGGAGGGGGGGAGGGGCGGTGACTGTTGGCACGGTCGAAGGCGGACCTGAAGATAGGGAAGGAGGGGGCAAGGCGGAGGGATTGAGGAAGTGTTCCAGAGCTTCGGAGCGTAGTGGTTGAAAGCGAACAGCAAGCTGGTTTTATAGACTACACAAATAGGAAGTAATCACCAATGGGGTTTATCTGGTACGCAAAAAACACTAACTTTGCATATTAAGACATAAGTAATCGACGCGGGATTCCTTATGGTAAACAAATCTACTTCTTGCGCATCAGACCAACCCAATGGGAACTGCACTCCGAAGCTGTCTCCATTTGGAGCATAATCTGCATTGTATATTTCCGGTTACAAGAACAAGTCAGACGCCTAATTAAGGAATCTTGTTTGGAAATTGCCACATATTAGACCCCAAATATAACTACTGTATAATGGAAACATTTTACTCCTGTCTTATCACTTCTGTTTACGTAATTAAAGATCAAAGTGCCAAACAGTCTAAGATAAACTGTGCCGAGTACACTGTTAGGCCAGATCTAATGTTCTTTATTCTGTACTGATTGCTATCTGAATTATCCATAAGAGTGATGCAAGTGTGTTGTGCAATGCAGGAGCACTGGGGGAGCATTGGTGCAGCTGCTTTGTTGGCTAAAAGGAAAGGAGAGAGAGAGAGAGAGAGTCAGAAAGAGAAAGAGCCCCAGGAATAAACAAATTAAGTTATTTTTGGAGACTATTAATTTGACTAATATTCGTGATCTAGACTTCTTCAAACATGTGGTTCCAAAATCATTGCTAAATACCCATACCCTTAAATAATATAATAATATAGTAATCCTTGTATTTTACACAGTGCCTTATCACGTCTTCGAGACGTCTCAAAGAGCATCACATAATATACTGTAAAGTGAATTGACTGTGTATTTTGTGAGCAAACGTGGAAGCCAATTACGCACAGCAGTGTCCCAAAACAGTCATGATTTGAGTGACCAAATTATTATTTTATTTGAAGGAATTATTACCCCCGGAAAAGTGATCCACCAATCGACTAGCAACCTACTTACTGCTAGGTAAACAGAGGCGTGTGTGTGGAGTAGGACGATTCCAGGATGGTGGCAGGCGAACTAGATGGACTTTGGTCTTCTTTCGCCTAACAAATTCTTATGCTCTTATTGCACCTCCCTGCATTTTAAAGTCCAGGATGCTACTCCCTCTCCTCTCAACCTTTTTTCCACTTAAAACATGATAATGATAATGGCGTTAAACCTAAGGCAATGGGAAATGGAAAGGCCTCTCTTCGTGAAGTCTTATATGAAATCATTCAATAGCTAATTGTAGCAAACACTATATACCGCAATAATAATACCCTAATTCCCGACTGTGACCTTATTTTCAACTCTGCTATCAGAACCAATACTGAGGAATGAGACAGCTACAGGAAGAATGGGAGAGATTCCTGTAAACAATTCCACTGGGAGGATGAGTTAAAAAGTATGTTTAAAAGAGAAAAGTAAAATTCAATAACACTGCAGTACCACAATGTGCTTCTACATTCTACATTAAGTGTTTAGCTCTGCGTCTGTCTCTTTCTCGTGCTTAGTTTATCATCGCTACTAAAGCTCCAGGTTTATTGAAAGCTTTTCTCTCTTAAATATTACACTGAAGGTATTTAATGCACTGCAGTCAGCTACCCAGACACGGTGTGACTGTTATCATTTTAATGTGGGCAAAAATAACAATAATAATATTAATCCTTGCATTTGACATAGCACCTTTTATATTTGGAGGACATCTCAATGGACTTTGTTGGATTTACTGTAAAGTGTAGTTACTGTGTTTTTTGTAGGCATGTATTTTGAAATGAATGACCCTGGAAGAAACTCCCTTCTCTTTTTTGAATAGCTCCATGGGATTTTTAACGTCCAGCTGAACAGGCAGATGGGGCTTCGGTTTAATGTCTCATCCTAAGGTTGGCACCTCCAACGACACAACACAATACAATATAATTTACGTTTTGAATGGCATGTACTGTCATGTCAGGAGAATTTCTCAAAGCACCTGACAATGCTGGATGGGCATTTGTGTTGGGGGTGGGAGCCGGGGAGGGGGCGGTGGGGCGGGGGGGAAATATGCAAGATGACCGAAAGCGGTCAAAGAGGTAAGTTTTGAAAAGGATCTTGAATGAGAGGAGGGGAAAGGATGGAGGGACCCTGGGATGGAGCACTGCATTGGAGTGTCAGCCACCCTAAACTATGTGAGCTCAAAGTCCCCACGTGTGGCTTGGATTCCACAACCATCAACTCAGATGTGAGAGCGCTGCCAAATGAGCCAGCTCAAAATTTGCGGGGTCCTGTAGCTCAGTGGTTAGCACGCTCGCCTCGGAAACAAGTGGACTCAGGTTTGAATCCCAGACGGGGCGAAACCTTAAGTACATTTGCTTACTCCACACGCCTCTGTTTACCTAGCAATAAATAGGAACCTGGTTGCTGGTTGATTGGCAGATCGCTTTCCGGGTGCAATAATCCCTCAATAAAAATTTGGTCACTCAATCCACGACTGTTTGTGGGACACTGCTGTGCCCAATTGGCGACCACATTTCGCCCCACAAAATACACAGTCAATCCACAATATCATAATATATTCTGTGAAGCGCTTTGAGACGTCTCAATGACTTGATAAGGCACTGTATAAAAAGGCAAGGATTATTATTTATTATGATTAAGATTTAGAGGAAGACCTAAACTCAATCTGGAAAACGTGGCAGCGTTCTGAAAGATTAAATAAACCAGATCCACCCTTTCCCCTCATTATCAAGGAAACAACATTTACAGGAATTTCTGCAACGTCTGTGTTATTTTTTCCTCTCTCTCTCTCCGTCTGTCTGGGTGGGAGGTTGCTGCAGAGCAAAAGAATGAGGAAGATCTTTTTGCAGTGATGCAGTTCCAGCTGGATCTAAACCAAAACACCTCAGCAGAGATAGAGAGTATTTCACAAGAGTCCACATGAGGGGATGGGGAAGAGGACAGACCAAACCCGTTGCAAACTGTGGGAATGCTTAATAACTTATCACAAAAGGGGAATCCTCATGCAAGGAACTGCAGTCGAATCGCTTCTGTGCATGTGTGTGCAATGTCAATTCAATGTGCATTTTAACCCGGAATTTAAAGCAAATCAAACATTTTTATTTGCATATAAAAAAAGGATTTGTTGATGTTATCACAGAGAAACCGCTGCCAACTCAACAGTACAGTAAAATAAGGATTTGTGTTTTTTTTAATGTATTAAAAAAAATCATGGCAAGTCAAAGTGAAACAAATGGTGGAAGTTAAAAAAAATGATTTTGAAAGAAAGCTAATATACAACGGAATAAGAATTTTTTTATGTGTGTGCGTGCAATCTGTTGATAAGAGTCTCCGATCACAGGAAGACAGGCACTCTCCAGGTCTGAACCGAGGGATGTGAATTTGCACCTGTTTGTTGATTATAACCAACAAATAATAATCCCTTTAAAAAAAATTAGTCACTTCAATCCACGGCTGTGTGTGGGGACCCTGCTGTGCGCAATTGGCTGCCGCGTTTCGCCCACAAAACATAACAGTCAATTCACTTTACATCATATTCCGTGAAGGGCTTTGAGACGTCTCAAAGACGTGATGAGGCACTGCATCAAATGCAAGGATTATTATTATTATTATTTCCCCCCCTTCTCTTACCCGTCTCCCCTTTTCTGTCCCCTGTCTCCCTTCCTCTCTCTCCCTCTCTGTCTCCCTCTTCTCTGTACCTAGCGTCTCTCCCCCTCTCTCTCTCTCTTTCTTTCTCTCTCTCTCTCTCTCAATCTGTCTGTTTCCTGTCCGCCCTGTGTCACACTGCCTTCAAGAAGCCAAACAAGAGACCGGTTCAGCTGCATTAGGACTGAGAGCTGAGTCGTGTCTTGGAGGAGGGAGGGAGGGAGGGAGCGAGCGAGACAGGGAAGGAAGGGAGGGGAGGGGTGGTGGGTGGAAAGGAAGGGAATAAAACAAGCATCTGAAATGAGAGAGCAGGGATGAGTGGGGGTGGGGAGATTGGGTCGAACCAGTCAGTCATTTACCCGTGATGCTACCGCCGTTGTGGGCTGGGCTTGAGCTGAAGCTGGGGAGAAAGGACTAGTGAGTGAGTGAGTGAGAGTGAGGAGGGAGAGCTCTCGCTCTCTACCTCCATCTATCTCTCCACCTCTCACTCTCGCTGCCTCACACACTCTCTCTCTCTCTGTCTCTATCTCTCCATTTGTGCTGGCTGGGTGGGTGGTTGTGGGGGTGGGGGGAAGGGGGAGGTGAGAGGTAGAGAGAAACCAGCTCATGTCAACATGGAGCCCTGAGTAGAGAAGGAACAGAAGAAGCAGCCAGAGAAAGAGAGAGAGAGAGAGAGCGAGGGAGGGAGGGAGGGAGGAGGAGAGAGAGAAAGCACTGGAAAGGAGGTGCGGGAAGAAAAGCGAAAAAAAAGGTGGTGGAGATTGAGAGAAAGAGAGAGAGAGAGAGAGAGGAAGAGAAAGAGAGAGAGAAAGAGGAGAGGAAACAGGAAAGATCGATGACCCCACGAACAACAACCACAGAGCAGAACAAGGAGGAGAACCAGCATTGAATAAGAAGAAGAATTATTATTATTAATAATATTAATAATTAATAATAATTATTATTATTCAGCAGCAGCAGCAGCAGCGGTGATGGTGTATGTGATCTTGCTGTCGGCTCTGGCCGGGGCTGTGTGCGTTCTCCTGCTGCAGCTGCTGCTCATTTACCGGAACAAAACCGAGCCGGTGCCCAGGACCGAGCAGTACGTCAAGCCAGTGGTCCAACCGGGGCTCAGGGACTACCTGAACGGGAGGGAGCGAGGAGAGACTTGGCCACCGACTTCTCTCCTTCCTCCTCCTCCTCCTCCTCCTGCTGCTGCTGCTCCATCATCATCATCATCTCCATCACCACCATCATCACCTCCTCCTCCTCCATCATCATCGTCGTCCTCTCCTACGCTCCAGCCTGGCTCCTCCTTCTCCTCCTCTTCTCTTTCCTCCTCCTCCTCCTCTTCCTCTCCTACCTGGCCCGGCACTGCCGCAGACACGGGCAACAGCACCGGTCAGAGCACCGGCACTAGCGGCAGCGGCAACACTGGCACTAGCGGCGGCGGCGGCAATGGCCCAGAAAGCTGCAACTTCCTCAACGCCATCTTCCTGTTCCTTTTTCGGGAGCTCCGCGACACCCCTATCGTGCGCCACTGGCTGACCAAGAAGATCAAGGTGGAGCTGGAGGAGCTCCTGCAGACCAGGACCGCAGGCAGGTTGCTGGAGGGTCTCAGTCTCAGAGACATCTCCCTGGGCAATGCCCTGCCAGTCTTCAAGAGCGCCAAGCTCTTACCCCCTCCTCCCGCCACCTCCGCCTCTGCCGGCACCGAGCAAGGTGTCCCAGACCAACTGGACTTCCAGGTGGACCTAGAGTACAACGGAGGCTTCCACTTGGCCATCGATGTGGACCTGGTCTTCGGCAAGTCGGCCTATCTGTTCGTGAAGATGCGCAGGGTGGTGGGCAGGCTCCGCTTGCAGTTCACCCGCCTGCCCTTCACCCACTGGTCTTTTGCCTTCATGGAGGAGCCCTTCATGGACTTCGAGGTCAAGTCGCAGTTCGAGGGCCGTCCCATGCCTCAGCTCACGTCCATCATCGTCAATCAGCTCAAGAGGGTCATTAAGAAGAAGCACACCTTGCCCAACTACAAGATCAGGTATAACAAGAGCGTAACAGATACACTTTCATTCCCCGCCGTCCTCTTCCCACCTCCCTCTTTCTCTCTTTCTCTCTCGCCCCAAGAAAAACACAACAACAACAAAATTTTGGCCACTCAATCCCCAACTGTTTGTGGGGACGCTGCTGTGCGCGATTGGCTGCCATGTTTCGCCCGCCAAATATGCAGTCAATTCACTTTACGGTACATTCTGTGAAGCGCTTTGAACTGTTTCAATGACAACGCCAACAATAGCACCCTTCATTCGGAGCAACATCTTGGAGCGCTTAAAACATGTGATTCCCGTACCGGGAGTCGAACCCAGGCGAGACTGACTATATGACGTGAAACAGCGCTATATCAAATGTACGTATTATTATTATAATTGCCACAAATCGGTTCACAACTTGAATGGTACCATGTGTTCATGTGTGTTCACTTTGTGAGATGATGTAATAACCCACTTCCAGGGGCAAGGTGCCAAGCAGTTATTAAAGGGCACCCCTGTTTTTTACATTGACTAAGTGTGGCTTGTGCCAATCGTTTACTCAGTGACGTTGTTCCTCCCCCAGCAGGTGGTTAGCAAGGGAACACAATTGCTACCATTGCTTTTAAAGGGCACCGATGGGAAAATGCAATTGCGACTGGCAGTATGTTGCCGATCTGTTTTGCCTCGCAATTTCGCCCAGCAAATTGTCTAACTCTTAAGTTGCCACCGGGCTCTACCGGGTTCTGCGAGTAATTTCGTCCACGAGGCGCTTCGTTCTTCACAAATACAAACCTGTCGTTTGTAGAAGGAACTTGGGCCCAATGGATCTCATCTTTCCAAAATGTCTATCCTACTATTGCGTACAATTTACATTTTGGGCGCCCTAAGCTGGGGGCGAAAACCAAAGGGGGTAGTGAGGGGAAAAGATGATTGAAAGCGCGGTCAAAGAGATCTTGAGGCATGAATGAGTTAAAGGATGGAGAACAAGCCAGTGGGAGCTATTTTGGCAGATGGAAGTGTGGGCTAAAAGTGGCCGTGTTTATCGTTGAGAAAACAAACCAAAAGCAATATTTTTTAGATATGCTAGAGAGGGTGCAAGTTCAGAGTTGTGAAGGGCAATTCTAGGACAGGCGGCAGAAAGTATTTCTTACACAGACGATAATTAACCAATGGAAAAGGTTACAACGAAAGGTAGTTGAGGTCAGGGTACTTGGGACTTATTTAAGAAGCTCCTTGATCAGGAGGGGAACAGTTGACAGGTATTCTGAAAAGATGAGATCCAACAGGCTGAGGGGCCTTCTTCATCGAAATCTGCCCTGTATTCTTGTGACCTGGCATTATCTGAAAGAGAATGTTCTTTTACAACATGTCACACTCTACAAATGCAGACAGTGGCACTTTTTATTTCCAATGTGAAATAAAACTTATGTCCCTTTTAACCATTCTCCTCTTGCTCCTTACTCAACCCTGAAAACTTCGCTCTATGCTTTGAAAAAAATATTTTATCTGCACTGTATACTGCAATAACATAACCCTGACCAAAATAACACTTTTATAGACCAAAGGGATTAATGAGGATACTATGATAGTTGGTGTACTGCACCATAATTTTTTTATATATATCCTATCCAAACCTATGGAAGAATGTACAGCAACTTCACACAGCAAATGCTAGAATGTAAAATCAATCCATGCCAAAAACAACCTGTCTTGATCATGTTAGCAGTGCACTGGCATAAGTTTCTGGTTTTAATCGGTAAAGATCTGTATTGGTAGGATTTTCCAGGTTTCTCCAAATTTAGGGAAATTAATTCCCATCTTTGAAGCCTGGTAGGTTTACCTGTTAATTTTTTTTGGTATTGTTTTAAATGACAAAAGTGGCAGATTTCTGCGTCATAAGTTCAACAATGTTTTATTTATTAGGTCTGGGTATTAAGGGATATGGGGCAAGGTTGGGAAACTGGACGAGAGGTACAGATTAGCCATGATCTTATAAAATGGCAGAACAGGCTCAAGGGGCTGAATAGCCTACTCCTGTTTCTATGTTTCTACAGGGGACACTGGTTCCTGCGTGCTGTGACGTTGAAGTCAGCGCCTTGGGACATCCTCCCGATGTGAAAGGCGCTATACAAATGTAATGTTGTTGTTGTTGTCGTCGTTGTAGATGTTCAGCGCACAGGAAGTGACGTGAGAGGTGCATGCCTAGCTGTAGGAAGTGATGTCTCTGGGGATGTTAACATTCAGGAGCCATACTATTTTGGGGCAGTCGCAAAGATTGCTAGAAATAAAAAAACACATGAATAAGGTAAAATAAAGGCCGATATGATCGGTCAAAAATTGGTAAGAAAATTAAAAGTTAAAAAGGTCAACGCTAAGTGCAAATGCAGTAAATAGATTTATTATGCTCTGTATTTAAAGTAGTAGTGACAGTTGTTTCAGGGTAGATAGATGAAACAATGTACTGTATGTGGAATCTTGATGGGCCCATATGGATAATTGATCAGTGCAGATATGATGGTTGAATGCATGACATACTGCAGCGTGGAATTTGATGATTGGATTTACAGTAATCTCTGAGCATTATAAATTCACAATCAGGCTGGACATGTTCTGTTGTCTGTTTTGATGGCGTGTCGACATTTAGAACCACAGAACTACATCACCCCAAATTGTGGCTAGCGATTCGTCTACGCGTTATTGCCTGTTGTGACACGCAGGATGTGATGGGCGGGTATTTGACACACGTGGGAACCCATTGCGATGATTAAGAGTAACTGAACCACATTGAATTTGATTTATACGCAAGACGTGTTTGGCAACGAATGTGGGAATCGAGCCAAACTTCTGTGGCAGTGTCGGTAGTCCAGTTCCTGAGCCAGCCGGGTCCGCAGTATTCCAGGGCCCTGCTGATAACAGCACAGCCAGCTTAGCTCATTTGCAGGACCTCGGAGGGCAGACTAGTCACTGACAGCAGGGAGTCATCCCACTCTGCTCTTGTTAACCCTGCAAGCCAAAGCCTTAAAGGATAGGGTGGTCCTGGCTGGACAAGCAGCGGGAAAGCTTGCCAGACAGTGCTCTCAATGGCAAGCTATGCAGTTTTAGCTGGATAGACTCCAGCAGTACCCTAATGCACACTCTTGACCCCAAGCCTTGTTTTTTGCCAACCTGCGGCAGGTACTTTCTGGAATTAGGTGAGCAGGATGCTTCCCTCCACGGAGAGAATCCGCATTCCATCCCAACATGTATCTCTGAAATTTCTATGTCAAGGTGGGAGGCGTGCAACTCTGTTTGATTTTTAATATTCTTAATCATGGCAATGGGTTTCCGCATCTGTCAGATGCCCGACAGAATGTGTTAGATCTCTCCTTGGCTTGTTGTAGACTCCGCCACTGTCATGCGCTCCGGGACTCTACCCAATGGGAAAGAAGGCGCTACATAAATGCAAGTTGTTATTACCTACACCAAATGTGCTCCCCCAGCCCGACATTGGAGAGTCAGCCTAAGACTGTGAGGTCTGATAAGGCGTTTGAACCCACAACCTCTGCCTCAGAGGTTAGAATGCCACCAACTGAGCGAAGCTGACACCAGTTGCATGAAAAATGCTTCCGTGAACTTTTATTTTCGGTTCAATCTAAATACCTAGGAGAGTACCATTTGTCCTTGTAACTGTTCCCACACAACATGATGCATTATTTTCTTGCTAAGCATTTTCTTTTCTGCTCCAGTTTATTCAACAAAATGCCCTTTGTTGTGTGTTTTTTTTAAAAATAGCATTGAGGCAGGTTCTCTTATTCTGAAATGCTTGATTGTCATTTCCTCAGTTTCTAATCTCTAGATATTCTCCCTTTAGTTAACATCCTGTTTGGTTTGCCCTACAAAGTTCTGTCTGCACTTATGCTTATTCTGTGCTGTAAGTCCCATTATCTATTTTTTTTTACCCAGCCGGGTGTCTGACAAATGTGGAAACACATCACAGTGTTTAAGAGCATCAAAACCAGGCTGAGATTTCCATACCTCCCACCTACACATGGAAATCCCAGGGAATTCACTATCTCTCTCCCTGGAGGGACACATCCTGTTTACCTAATTCTGGAATGTATTAGATGCAGGTTGGCAAGAGCCAAGGCTTGGAGGAGCCCAGAGTGTGCGTTGGGGTAACTGCTGGAGTCTAACCAGCTAAAACCGCATAGTTCGCCATTGACATTGCTGTCTGGAAAGCTTTCCTGCTGCTTGTCCAGCTCGGACCACACTACCAGTTAGGGCTTTGGCTTGCACGGTTAACAGGAGCTGAGTGGGATGATCCCTGCCCCCAGTGACTGGTTTGCCCTTCCAGATCTGGCCAATGAGCCAAGCTGGGCTGTGCTGTGATCAGCAGGAGTAGAATACGTGAGAAGGTGCTGGTGCCTCTTTTGGCTGAAGGCATTACCCAGGCTGATCCTCGGTATTAGTCGATAAGCTACATATTTCCCATCTTGAAAATAAGGACTCAGAGGTGACCGTGGTAGAAGGTATATAAGGTGCGTAATATAAGGTGCTTAACAGGATAGGGAAAGTAAACCCATAATAATACTTTCAGATACATGAAAAGGGCCAACAAAACAACTTGCATTTAGAGAGTGCCATTCACTCATGAAAGAGTCTCGGAGAGCTTGACAGTGGTGGAGCCTGATGCTGAGCCGGGGGGAGGGGGGGGAGGTGACTGTAAGCAGAGTCGAAGAGGAAGGTCTTCAGGTGTGATCTGAAAATGGGGATGGAGGGGGCAAGGTGGATGGAATGAGGGAGAGAGTTCCAGAGTGCTGTGGCGTAGTGGAGCCGATGGTGGAGCGCAGGGGACGATGGACAAGCAGGGGGCCGGAGCCAGCTGAACGGGAGTAGCGGATTCGTGGATGGGGGGAGAGATGGAGAGGTGCCAGGGTATGAAGGGATTTGTAGACAAAGGTTTAGTATGGTGAAGGGCAAGTTTAGGACAGATACTAGGAAGTATTTTATTACACAGATGGTAAAAGCAGCT